CAGGGCTGCTGTCGCTGGTCATGCTGCCCAGCCAGCGAGCCCCCTTTGGGGCCGTGAGCTCAGTTCACGGCAGAAGAGCACTGTGGTTGGATTTTAAAACCTTCCCACCTAGCAGTCCTGCCATCACCGGTGCCCGGGAACTTGGCCCTGTGCTCCTCCCCCTCAGATGGGCCCCAGGCCCGAGGGGCTGGGGGTCATACTCCACAGGCCCTGCGGCTCTCAGCTGTGGGCTGGCCTTGTTTCTGCCCCGCCCAGGTCCCCCGCCAGGCCTGGACTCCAGGCACGCCCCCGAGCGCTGGGGGCACCCAGTCCTGGGGCTTACAGGATCCTGTGGGCAAACCCTGCGGGTCCTTTGCCGCCACTGGCTGCCCTACTCCCTCCCAGATGGCCTTCAGGACAGCGTGGGAGCTCGAGGTGTGGGGCAGACCCAGGCCTTGTGGTTGGCACCTGATTGCTTCCTCCCGGATGCTGCCTGGAGGTGTCAGGTAGACCCCCAAGCGAGGCCCCAGGGCCTTTCATCCGGCCCTTTGGCCCTGCTGGCTGGACCATTTGTCAGGGTAGTTCCGGGGGTCAGCATGGATGGGACGGCCCTGGATGCCTGGCAGCCGCCACTTGGGACCGAATGGACAAGTGCCCAGGGATGTTGGCCCAGCCTGGGCCCTCCCCGGGGGAAAGCATGCAGGACAGTGGGGGTGGGGGCCCTACGGGGCTGTGGGTGGGTTCGGGAGGTGCAGGAAGCCCCCCTGGACACGGGCACTGGGCGGCGTGCCCCTCACGTCTTTCTGCTTCCGTGTGCTGAGGCATCTCCTGACTCCCCCAGTGAGCACCAGTGGCCCATCCCTCTGAGGCTCACAGATCTGCAGCCCCAAGTGCCCACCCCATCCGGACCTGCGGGGGCCCCCTCGTCACAGATCTGCAGGCTACCCCCCATCACAGACCTGCAGGGGCCCCCCCATCACAGACCTGCAGGTCCCCCCCACCTCCCCACAGGCTGACTGGAGTCAGAGATCCCAGCTTGGGGTCTCCTGGGGGAGTTCCACCAGGGCCCAGAGTCCACACCCCTGCCCGGTCCCCCTGGGTGGGCTGCGTGGGGTGGGGGGTGGCAGGTTACTTAGTGACAGGCCAGGGGGAGGCGCTGGCTCCTTGTTCAGAGCGGGAGGTCCCCAACAGCCTGAGGAGGCTCTCACAGCCTCTGCCACCCTCCCCCAGCCCTTTCGGGAGAAGGCAGCCACTTGGCTTGGGTACAGGGTGAGGACCCTCAGACTCGGACACCTGGCTTTGCCTCTTGGTAGGCGGATGCCTGCTAGGCTGGGGGATGGGGATGGGGATTCCCGGATCAGCCTGGCTGCTGGCCCTGGGGAGTAGCTCCCCCACCCACCGCCGCGGCCCCGGGGAGCAGCCAGCCCGGCTCCTTGTTGGGAGCGGGCTTCTCAAGGCGGCTCCCAGCCTGGGTGGGCCACGCTCCTGTGCCCCTGGCTCACTCTCAGACCTCGTGCCCTGTGTCCCTGTCCCCCCTCAGAGAGGCGCTGGTCTCAGGTTCTTTGGGGTGTGAGTGTGTGTGGAGACAGGCCTACACCCCGGGAGAGGGTGGCCCTGCCTACAGGCTTCCTGTGAGAGCCTCCCTCCCACTAACCACACACCGCTGCTCCATGGGCACGCGGCAGACACCTGTGGGCACGCAGACCTGTGCCTGTGCATCTAAGGCGGGGGGCGCCCAGGGCCGGGGGTCGGTCAGGGCGGGGGGGCACCCAGGGCCGGGGGTCGGTCAGGGCAGGGGGGCTGCCCAGGGCCGGGGGTCGGTCAGGCCAGGGGGGCGCCCAGGGCCGGGGGTCGGTCAGGGCAGGGGGACGCTTAGGGTAGGGGGTGCCCGTGGGGGGATGGCGCTCAGGGAAGGGGGGTGCTTAGGGTAGGGTGTGCCTGGTGGGGGTGGCGCCCAGGGCAGGGGGAGCTCAGACAAACATTCCTGGAGCCACGTGGTTCAGGACAAACGCTGTGACCTGGCCTGTTGCTCACCTCTGGCTCTGTCATTGCGGTCACTCCCCTTGGCAGGTATGGCCAGGAATTCCTGGCTTCCCAGGGCGCTGAGAGCCACTCGTGGGCGTGGCTCCCAGGCTGGCTGCTCAGAGGGCCCCCAGCACCCTGGGAACACAACCCTTCCCCCACCTGCCAAGTCCCTGCCTGTGGTCGGAGGCACAGGCTGGTGTCCTGGGTACCGCTGTAGCCCCTCCTCACGTACCTGCCAAGCCCAGGTGAGGCGCAGCCTGCAGGCTCAGGACACTTCTGGGACTGGCCTGGCTTGGGGGAAGTGGCTAGAGCAGCCCTTTCCCACGCTGTTCCTTGGGGCCTGGGGCGGGGATGGGGCTCCAGAGGGGACTCCCGGGTGAGGCCTCACCCTGGCCGAGTACCCTGCCCGGCTGCGGGGCGAGGGCAGGGTTGGCCCAGGGTCCACAGTGAATCCAGGCTGGTGAACCGGCCCCAGGAGGCTGCCCTCGTGTCTACCGCCCCCAGCAGTTCCAAGAGCCCAGTGGGGCACTGGCACCGAGCGGCCTCCTGCAGCCTCCCAGTGGGAGCCGTGGGAACCCAGTGTGCAGGCGGGCCCCTGGGACCGGTAGCTGGGAGCCTTCCCAGCCCCTCCTGCCCCGGACTCACCTGGGCCCTCCCACGCCCCCGGCCCTTCCCACCAGCCAGGCTCTGGGGAGGAGGCCACCCCACCCTGGGGCTCCCAGACTGCAGGGAGGCAGAGGGGAAGGAGGGGGCCGGGCCAGGTCCCAACCTGTAGGAGCCATGGGCAACAGGCGCCCAGGAAGGCTCTTGGCCCCTGTCCAGGGACCCCTTGGGCTCCCCTCTCGTCCCTGCCCAGCCCTGTTGGCCCCCTAGCTGGGGGTCTGCCTTCCCATGCAGGGGGCTGAGTGAGGGGGGTCGCATGAGACCCCTGTGCAGGGGTCCTGCCAGCCGAGTGCTGTGACGTGAGCCATATTGAGCCCCTCCAAGCCCCCCTTTCTTCAAAGGGGAGAGGGTCAGGGCTCCATCACCCAGGTGTCCCTCCCGCTGACCCACTGTGCACTCGGCTGGACCGTCAGCCTTAGAGAGCAGAGCCAGCAGCCTCCCTTGTGCAGTGGCCACCGCCCGCCCAGAGCAGGTGGCTGGGGCTTCGGGATGGACAGAGAGGCCCTGGTGCCAGGCCTGGCCCTTGGGCAGCCAGCCAGGCACAGAGAGGGCGGGCACTTCAGCCGGGCGGCAGAACCGGCCTTTCCAGCCAGGGAGGGGGCCGTTCTGGGTGACGGCGGGGCCCGCCAGCGGGCAGCGGCCGCCGTGGGAAAACTGGCCCCGGTGGTTCCCGAGGGTGGGGCCAGGACCTTGTGGAACGGACTGGGTGCTTGTCTGTGGCAGGCTGTGACTCAGCATGAGCTGGCCAGCCTGCCTGCCTGCCCACCTCGGACCCCAGCCGCCTCCTGCCGCTTCACCGCCCCTCCCTCACCTGCTGGCCACCAGCCTTGGGCCAGGCCAGGTCCTGTGGGGAGCTCAGCACCCATGGCACCCTACTCAGTCCAGGGCCAGTGGGCCACTGCAGCCGCACCCGGGGCAGCAGATGGAGGCAGGACCGCCCACTCGCTCTCAGCCCTTTCCCCAACGAGGCCTAGAGGGGTCCCTCTACCTGTGCCACTGCCTCAGGAAGCGCCCTGGACTTGTGACCCACGAGGGCACTCACATAGTGGTCCCCATGGCCAGAGTCCAGGCTGGGTGGAGGTCTGCGTGGGGATGGGGACTGGGGGAGGTGGCTGGGGGACAGGCAGCTCCACTGTGGGCAGGGAGCCTCTTGGTGAACAGCTGGGGCCAGTGGCAGAGGTAGGGTCCTGCCTGGGGAACAGCTCAGCCCCAGGCCCTGTCTCGGCCGGGTTGGCACCCAGTGGAGGTGCAGCAGCGAGCCCACCCCCATGGCGTGCAGCCTCCCCAGTATTGAAACTCCTATGGGAAAAGGCGGTGGGGGAAGACTGACCCTGCCCTGCCGTGGACACAGCCGAGGCCTGGTCCCCGCGGCGGCCTCTTGCAGGCTCCGTGTCATCTCAGGGCCCTGGAAGGGGAGCGGGAGGCAGGACTCTCGGCATGACCACGGCCCCCTCCCACCACCTCTGGGCCGGTCCTGGGAATTCCAGGGCCCTGCCCTTGGCCCTGCTCCCCGGGCTGGAATCTGGGAAGTGCCTGTGTGCCTGCCCGTGTGAGTCCCCAGGGCACCTGCATGCACCCTCGTGGGAATTGGGACTCAGTGGGCCCCGCCTTGCCAGGGAATCCTAGAATACAGGCCCAGCTCCTTGTCCGAGCAGTGACTGGGGCCTGGGGCGGCCTCAGCGGAAGGGAAGCGGGACTGGCAGCCTGCCCGCCAGGTGCAGTCACCGCTGGGGGTCAGGGCACCCAGTGCTGGCTGGATCTGGCCTCGGCATCCCCACCCTAGGGTCACTGCTGGGGTCAGCAGGGCACTGAGCTCTTCACAGGGCCCGTGGTGATCAGCCAGACACGGTCACTCAGAACCAGCCACCCTGGGGTCACTGGTGGGGTCAGCAGGGCACTGAGCTCCTCACAGGACCCGTGGAGACCACCCAGACACGGTCACTGGGAACCAGCTGGCTGGCCTCAGGCCCTCTGCGTGTTTCTGATGTGGATGCTGCATAGAAGTCATCGCAGTGTCCCTCCTGACACCTTGGGCAGCAGTGCCTGGGGGGCTGGGCCGTGCTGGGCGTCATCACGGGTGCTCAGGTGGGAGAGGGTGATGGCAGAGCCCCACAGGTGTCACAGCAGGAGAGGCTACCCCCAGGGAGGGGCTGCCTCCAGGGAGGGCACCGCAGTAGTGGGGTGAGCCGCAGGGCGCTGGGCTGGGAGAGGAGGGGTTTGTTGTTTGCAGAGCCAGAGCTGCGGGGACCGAGCATGGTTCTGGGCTTCCTGGAGGCCAGGAGGGGCTCGGGAGAGAGGCCTGCTCAGGCCTAATTAATCCCTGTGCCCCCCAGGTGTGTAACTGTGACCAGTACCTAAAGGTCTCCAAGGACATGATGAAGCACCTCATGCAGCTCAACGGCCACCACGAAGGCCCCAGTGGCACGGGTGAGGGTGCAGATGCGGCCCTGTCAGTCCCCGGGCCCCAAAGGGTCGAACGTGGGGTCTGTGGGGACAGGCAGCCCAGCTCTGAGCTTCCTGGTAAGGCGGAGGTGGGAAAGGTGCAGGCTGGGAAGGGGTGTGCATGTGTGCCAGGCCGGAGGGCCCCGCCGCAGGTCCCCACGCAGGCGGTGCCAGGCTCAGCCCTCAGGGCCCTGCGTGCTGTCTCCGTGTCCTCTGGTGGGCCCCGCACAGCTGCCGGTCACCCTGCCCACACGCCACGCACACGCATGCGCGCACATGCGCACACTCAGACACACCTGCTCACATGCACAGTCGGTCACATGCACGATCATGCTCCATACACACTCTTGAGCATACTGTGTGCTCACACGCACTCAAGCACACACTCACGGGCACGCATGCCATGTGCACGGTAACAGGCGCACCGGAGCAGACAGGACGGCGGGTGGGCACCAGCTGGTCCCCCGACGTCCCCTTGCCCTGCCAGCGAGGTTCCCATCAAGGCACCTAAGGGGCTCCGGCAGCCCAGTCGGCTTTCCTGTTTGTAAAACTAGAAAGGGGCTTCTCCCTTCCTCTCGCTTCCCCTGAGAGTGCTGCCCCCATCAGCAGAGAGCTCTCCTGGGCTCCAGGCAGCCCCCAGCCCTCCACGGCGCGCGCCGCCGGTGGCCTGTACCCCCCCACTCCAGCCCCACGGAGGCTGGGCCAGTTTAAAGGCACCCGGGAGCCCCCACTTAGCCCATCCCGGGCAGTGCCTGTATGGACGCCTCGGGTGGGAGGGGTCTCGTCACTTCAGCCCGCTGCAGTTCATCTGGAGCGTGGGTAAGGAAGCGTTTGCCAGGCACATAGCAGGGTCGACCCCGAGAGCAGGCCTCCCACCTGCCGCTGGTGTCTTGGAGGCCACTGTCCGAGCTCCTGAGCGTCTCCCCCAGCCAGCAGCGCCCCCCTCCCGTCCCCGACTCGGCCCAGCCCGGTGCCGGCTGGTTGCGAAACCCGGCTCCTTGGCAGAAGGCTTATCTGCTCATCACCACAAACGGGCCGCCCCTGCCCCCGCCTGCACCCGTTCTCAGGCCCCCAAGTGCCCTTATCGGCCCATCTTGAGCCCGGAACGTGTTTCCCAGGGACCTTTGAGCCCCAAGAACTTTCCAAGGTGCGAGTTCCCGCGGGAGGGGACAGGGTCTGGCACAGACCCTCTGGGTCCTCCCTCCCTCATCCCTCTCTGCCGCTGGCATGCCCCAGGGGCTGGGGGCGTGCTCACAGCCCGTCGTCGCGGGACATAGGACAGCCCCGTAACCCGTTCCCGTCCTTGTTACCAGGTGAAGAGACCACCCCAAGGGAGGACAGGCAGGGGACAGGTGAGCCCCGGGTCCCTGCCGAGGATGAAGTCACTGCTCCACTGGCTCTTGGCACCTTGGCCCCCAGGACAGGGTTTGGCTCCTGGCCCAGCAGAGGGGTCACCCAGTTCTCAGGGGACCACAAGGCAGGGTTGGGGGCACTGGCCAGGGAGGTACACGACCGATAAGCTGAGGAACTCCCACTCGAGGGCCTGTGTGGGTGGGAGACGCAAGAAAAGCCGCCGGGGGCCGGGTGGACCCCATGTGGGCTTGGGCACAGTAGATGGGGACACTGGCCTGAGGCTGGAGGCTCAGTGGCCTCTTCCTTCTGTCCAGGCTCAGCACCGGAGCCGGCCCCCAGGGACTGTGCCTATGACCCGCCATGCCGCTGGCTGGAGGCGTCCGACCTGCAGACCATCACGCCCGCCACACTGGGCAACGGCACTCGGCTGCAGCTGGCGGGGGTCCCAGCGGGTGTGCTGTGGCGCCCGGGACAGTGGCCTTTCTATTGCTGCACAGGTTGTGGCAAAGTCTTCTGGGAAGGCTCCCACCTGGGCCGCCTGACAGCACACTTCCACGAGGTCCTGGAGACACCACCGCCCCAGCTCCTGTGAGCCCCCAGCCTGGCTGGCAGCCCCCGCGGGACGGCCTCCGCCCCGGGAAGCCCTGCAATAAAAGTGGTCTTGGATGCACACTCGCCCTGCAGGCTGCTGAGTGCTTCCCTCCGCAGGTGCAGGGGCCACCGACAGGGAGGGGCCGCCTGCCGGCACAGGCCCAGGGCCAGACCAAGGTGACACTGAGGCCACTGGGCTTCTTGAGCTGGGAGTCAGGGGGAACAGGCTGCTGTGTGTTCTTGGTGGCCCACCCATGTGCCAGCCCCACCACTGGCCCTCCAGGCTGGGCAGGACAGGTCCCTCCCCATCCTCCATCAGCTAGGCCTACCCTGGACGCTCCAACCCCAAGGAGTGCCAGTAGTGGGGTGCTGCCAGGGCTCAAGTGGGATCCCCGGAGGATGACGGACAGAGGGGCCCCCTGGGGGCACAGGACTTGGGCCCACTGGGTGCGGAAGGTGGGAGAGGGATAGGGTGGGGCGCCACAGCCCCCCTCCCCGTCCAGGAAGTTGTCCGCATCCTAGCCAGGAGGACGAGGCTTTGCAGGGCGGGGTGACCCTCTGCGTGTCACCTCTCCCCCTCATGACCAGGCGGGACCCCCCGCGGAGGGCAGCAGCAACCACAGCCGTCATGGGTGCTGCAGCTGCTCAGACACTCAGCACTCACGGGGCTGGCGGGCAGCTCCTGCCCTGTGCCTGGGGAGGAAGGAGGCTCAGCCGGTCACACGGCCTGTCCCTGACTCCCTGGAGGTCAAACGGCGCGGGGCGTCATGCGGGGGGCCCCGAGGGAAGGGCCCTGGGGGTAGGGACACCAGACAGGAGTAGGGGCTTGGGATGGGGTGCCAAGTGTCTCAGGGTGGGGGCCAGCATGCTCCCGCGCCTCCTCCGAGCTCGCCTCAGGAATGCCCCCGCCTCGCACTCACATCCCTTTCCTGCACTTCCTGCCTGGAGCGGAAACCAGCTCAGATTTGGCAGAGGAGCGGGGGTGGCAGAAGCTTCAGGCAGCCTTCAGCCCCCGACACCTGCAGGCCCCAGGTGCTCTGGGGCCTCCCTGAGGGACCCTGGCCATCTCAGGGCTGCCAGGTGTCCCCCGTCAGAGCAGCAGGGGGTGGGGGACAGCCGGGGCTGGGGCTCCAGCCTGACGAGTTCTGGGGTGGGGGCTCCACGCCCTTTCCGTTTCCCTCACTGAGCTCACGTTTGCCAGGCAGCCTCCTCCAGCCCCGCCCCCGCTAGGCCAGGCCCTGCTGGGTGCCGCTCAAGGACAGGGGAGCGAGGCTTGGGGTGGGGGGTGCCGGGTCAGAGCTGGCACTCCCCTCATGATCACTGCCTGGTCCTGCTGGGTGCCCTCAGGGCTGAAGTGGGTCAGGAGGAGCGTCCAGGTGAGCAGGGCAGCGGGACCGAGTGGGGCTGCAGGGCCACCCTCCGGAGAGGGGCCCACGTCCTGTTCTGGTGGGGCAGGGCAGTGACTGCCCGCTCTCACCCTCACCAGGACCAAGAGGAAGCGGCCCAGGGGGCCAGCCCCCTCCATCCAGCTGCATCCTGGAGGCCCCGCTCTGGCCCTAGGCAGACGGGACCGCCGAGGAGAGGCCGGGAATCCAGCTGCAGGAGACGGCAGCCTCCCCTTGCTCTCCGGTTCAAGCCGGCCTGCTGGGCGTCAGGTCCAGGGGCTCCGACCGGGTCCTTCTCAGACCCCAGAGCAGGGTCGTGCTCGCCCAGCCTCAGGAGCAGGCTCAGCTGGCAGCGGCCGGCTGACGGTGGGCTCTGGCCCGGGTGCCGGCCTCCCCAGCGGCCTGGCCGAGGAGCCACCCGCCTGGCCTGTGTGGTGATTGTCTGGGGCAGTTCCTGCCCGGGCGTCCTTCCTCCACGGCCTGGCCGGCTGTGTTTGTTATTTGATCTCTACCCTCTCAAGGCCTTCTGCCGCCAGGTGTCTGGGCTGCTGGGAAGAAACACTCTCCTCTTTCCCACGCTCCCCGACACATTTTAATGAATTAGTTGGAGGCCCCGCCCCCACTGCCTGCCACTCACCCTCCCCTCTGTGCCCAGTGCCTTGAAGGTGGCCGAGGGCCTCAGCCCAGGTCTAGCTAGCTGCTCTCTCTCCGCTGTCCTCCCCTGCTGCCCTGGCCACCTTGCCCGGCCAGGGTCCCAGGGAAGGACAGGAAAGGGAGGTCCTTTCAAATCCCCCTGCGCCGGGGTGCACAGGACGGTGGGCAGGGCACCTACAGGCCCTGTGGCCCAGGTGGCATGGAGGAGGCCTGAGTCCAACCTGGCAGTCAGAGCTTTGTTCTGTTTGCCCAGACCCAGGTCAGACCGGCTCCTGGAGGGCAGAAGGCCAGGCCTGTTCGCGGGGGGACTGCGACGCGGATTACCACAGCCCACACAGGGGCTCCAGGTGGCCCCTCCCGCCCACCAGCCCATTTGGAACAAATGTCCTCTTTTGGGACGTGGTCACTTCAGCAAACATTTATGAAGTGCTCGATGGGCCGGTGCCCCCCTGCCCTCTCCCTCCGTCCTTGGCTGAGCCTCCGTTTCCCATACCCGTCGACCCCATGGGTGTGGGGCTGAGTGGCTCATAACACAAGTTCTCTCCCCTGCTGGCCACTGGTGCTCGGCCGGGGCACCCGCCAGGCCGCCGACTCCACAGCCCGTGGTGGGGCTGAGTTCCCACATGGAGCTCACAGGGCCCCTTTGTCTGCCACCCGCCGCAGGGCGTCAAAGGGACTTTTCTCCCAGGCTCTTCGCACTGGGGCCCCGGGGCCCACAGATGCCCTTCCCCTGGCCCGGAGGAGTCCACCTGGCTGGGCCTGCTGGTGACCCTCCCACCTTCCCAGAGGCAGGAGCTGACTGAGGGCTCCAGGTGGCCACGCCCCTTGTCCCCTGGGCTGGCACAGTGGCCGGGGACAGAGCCACCCATGTCCTGGGAGCACTCCCGTCCGTGCCCAGCCCCCCCCCCCCATTGTGGGATGATGTCTGGCCAAGGCCGATGCACAGGGAGGAGTGGGCAGTGGGTGGCCAATGTCTGGCAGGCCAGGACCTGGCCCAGCAGGTCTGAGCTCAGCGCAGCGCTTCCCCAAGGCTGCAGCCACCTGATATGCTGCCTTCCTGGGCCCCAGGCCTCTCTTTTCTAAACGGGTCACAGCGAGGTCCGGCCTCCGGGAGCTCCTGTCCTCCTCCCTTCCTGTCCCCCTGTCTGGGTGAGGTTGAGAGGCTCTTCACAGGCCAACAGCAGTAGGTTCCAGGTCCTTGATCAGGCAGGTTCTGGGGTCATGGCCCCCTCCCCACAGCGATCCTGGGCTGAGCAAACAGGCTTTCCCATGTGGGACTGTGGGTGGACTGTGTGGGAGCCACTGGGAGGGGCCTGGAGACAGCTGCTCCACGAACCACGCCCACCAAGGCCCTGGGTCCCAAAGAGGGCCCTCAGGAGGCCGAGGCGCTCCGTGCCATCAGGGCCCCTGTACCTGCTGAGGCTATGCATCCCCTGCCCTGCCTGGGGCTTCGGGCCCTGGCCCCTGCCTCCCTGCCAGGACCTCGATCTGTGGCTGGACAAGGTCCCCTTCTAAGCCTCAACGTTCCCACCTTTAGGGTGGGGACAACCCTGAGCCACCAGCTCGAGAGCTCCTGGGGGCTGGCGGGCAGGTCTGAGCAGACTATGCTAGACCAGGCCTGGGAAGACCCAGGCTGAGCCCCTCCTGAGACTTGGCTCCCAGGCCTGGCATCAGATGGCCTGGCCACCAGAAAACCAGGGCACCCCAGGAGCAGTGTGGCTCTGTCCGAGTCCGCAGGGTCAGATCTGGGGGCTGCCGAAATGGACAGAGACGGCTGGCAGGCACGGTTAGCCTTGCCTGGTTTCTCCTGCGGGTTTGGCTGTAACCCCTCCCAGAGCACCGAGCAGGGCGGGGTCACACCCACGTGGGTACTGGGCATGGGGGGCTGCAGGCAGACACCCAGAGGGGCCCCACCTCACACCCTGGGTGGACCCGGGCCTGGCAGGGTGGTCTCCCCAGGCCGAGGGCCCGTCTTTCCGGCTGCTTGGGCTTTCCCGCCCAGCTTCCGAAGGAATGCAAGTCTTGGCGTGTTGCGCCCTCCCCGGGCCTCGGGCTCTGCAGCAGCAGCAGCGGCATCTAAGAAGTCTTTTCTCCTCCCTCTCCAGTAACCACAGATGAGCTATAAACTGTAGAATCCTAATGAGGGCCTGCCTCCCAATATTCACGTGGTCAGTGAAACAGGGTTTTCACAGCCTGCAACAGTCCCTCGGGGGGGAGCTTCCTCTCAAGTCAGCCCTCGGCTGTACCTAGGGCCGCTCACCTGGCCAGGCTTGCAGCTCCTGCCCTCATGCTGATGGGGGCAGGGGGGCACGGTGGAGGGTTTCAGGGCACCCTGAAGACGTCCCCAGCCTTCTGCTTCCTTGGCTATTAGGAAGACGAACCCGCTGGCCTCAGGGCTGGGGCTGTGGGGGACTCGGTGCAGAGACTGAACGCCACACGGGTGAAAACCGGCGAAGGCCAGGGCCAGGGCTCCTCTAAACACAGGACGGGAGTCTGACCCTCGGCCACGCGCGAGGGCAGCTTCCTTGGGGTGCAGCCAGGGTCCAGGCTGGGTCTGGCTTACTGCCTCTGTGTACCCGTGGTCTGGGGCCACACAGGGGACCCTTCCGGGAGTAGGAGGCAGCCCCTCCGCTCAAGAAGCGCGCAGCGAGTCCTGTCTCTCCTCCTCCGTTCCCGAGGCTGAGACGCCAGCAAAGCCCCCACCCAGGACCGGCAGCCTTCGGCGCCACGAGGTCGCCCTTGAGCCTGGGGCAGGGAGCTTGGAATTCCCCAGGTGGCCCGAGGGAGGGTGGGCAGGACGACGCTGAGGGGCCAGAATATCGGGGGGGTACCCGCGGACAGGGGAGGCGGAGCGAGCGGGACCCCTCGCGGCCACCTGGCCGCCTCCGCCCCCGCAAGGTCGGCTAAAGCACCTCCTGCCGCGAAGCACGCCGCCGCCC